AGGACAGAAGGTGCACCCTCAGGTCAGAGGGCACCAAGGGCCGGGAGTCACGCGATCATGTTGTTATCTTGAAGCCTCTTTGTAGATCTGTGAAATATTTGCCTTTGGACTCCATCTCCTGCCCTGGCAGGGCCTACCCTCTGTGCTCCCCTGCTGGACCTGGGGAGACCTACTGTCTGTTATCTTTCCCACAATAGAAAATAAATAAATAATAAAGTAAAAACAAAATCCAATAGAATAAGCAAACAGTTAGGCCTGTACTGCTTGCCAGTGCCCAGCCGCAACTCGTTGGAATCCTCGCACTGGTGCCTCACTGAGGTCATCGCTGGTGGCCGCAGCCTTCCTTCTCATGTCTTACTCTGTCCTCAGCACTTGCTGCAGAGTCCAGGCTAGGCTGTGCTTACCAAGGGATTTGCACAAATGACTGCGAGCGTTTTTCGAGAAGAGCCAGGTATGGATGTCCTCCCTGTGGCCTGGGAAAGGGCCTCAACTCCTAGGGGGCAGCGTTGGCCTCCACTGGAGGGGATCTGTATTCTGGGGTCTTGGGGCTAGGGGGCAGTGTTCACTCACAAGTACAGCCAGAGAAGGGTGCGTACATGTGTGTGTGCGTGTGCGTGTGTCTGTGTGTGCACATGTGCGGTAGAATGCTGACTGGACATTAATAAACCCTGACTCCAGAGAGAATTCTAGAAATCCCTTGAAGCAACTTGGTCATTCTTCTGAGTACCTCAATTTAAATAGGTATTTAAGTTATACTCTGTAGGTGCTGCCACAAAACCATTTATCTGAAGATTTAAGATTTTTTTATCCAGTAAACTTTATTTATATATAACAACAGTACAAATTGTGTCCTTGGCTTGCAAAATAGGAGTGTTTGATATTTACAGTAGATACAGGAGAATATATTAGAATAACAAAAACCCCATTTATTGGAACATTTTAAATAATTTTCTTATTATTCCACAACACCTATAAAAACAACAAAACCAGACAACCAACATTGCATTTTCTTAAAAATAGATATAATACAGATTCCAGTGTGTCCAGAGGATGGGGTGGGGGTTGGGCGAGCTGGGGAGAGGTGGGTGGGCTCAGGTCCCTCTGTCCTGCTGCGAAGAGATTCTCTCTTCTGCCCTGTGTCTCGGGGATATGTGGCCCGTGTGGTGGAGGCTGCACTTCCTGGTGCTGCCTGCCTCCTCCACTGCTGCCAGGGATGTCAGCTACAGTCACAATGCAGACTGGCTGAGCTCCGGAATGGCTTCTCACCTTCCTCAGGGGGAGGCGGGAGTGGCCACCAGCAGGAAGGGTGCAGAGGGAGGGAGAGCTTCAGAGCAGGGAACGGGAAGGGGAAGCTCCAGTGTCCTTACTGGGCTGAGGCGCAGTCCTCTGGGCCATCTTGATCATCTCTCAGGACACTCCCTAAAACAAGCTAGAGGGAACATTATCCTTTACTCACGGGCATCACTGAGCCCTGGATGCTGAACTTTACTCTGGGGAAACTGGAAGACAGGATGGAGACAGGGGAGTGAGACTGGAGTTCTGAAAAGGCTGCTGTTCTGCAGAGATGTTCCTGAGAAGCTGAACTTCACCTCCCGGGTCCCCCACCCTGAGGGATCTGCTCCCAGGCCCTGGGTCCCAGAGGCAGCTATACCTTCTCTCCCCACAGTGCCCCACCACCTGCCTTCTTCCTTGCCTGTGTCCACAGCACAGCACGGCTGGGAGAAGGGCCTGCACCAGAGAGGTGCGCCCCGTGTCTCTAGGCAGCCAGTGACAAGACGGACACTGCAATGGTTCCCAGCCTCGGCACACCCACCAGAGCTTCTTCCTCCCAGGAGCACCAGGGCCATGGCAGCTATTCTAGTCCTCATCGGCTGGAGCCCAGGAAAGGTCAGGAGCTGAGACGGCAGAGGTAGTGCCAGCAGAGGAGCGGGCGGCGGAAGAGCGAGAGCAGCTGTCCTGGCTGGGGAACTGTCCCTGCAGAAGGGAAGGCAGCTGGGTGGGCCGGCTTGCCTTCTTCACTGCACTCCTGTTTATGTAATGGGAGTATCCGCCAGCGGGGAATCAAAACTGTGCCTGCCACATTGGAACCAGCAGCCTGCAGAACAGACATTGTCTTGAAGAAGGACCCTCTTGTTCTTCTCTTTTCCAACACCTCAGAAAGAGCTGCTGTTCCAGAAGATTCTCTGAATGAGCAGACGCAAGAAATAGCTCTTTCCTTCCCGGGAGGTTAGCAGCTCGTCCGTGTGCCTAATGCCTCAACTGTGTTAGGAGAGAAGACTCAGTAGTGGTTTTGAGAGCCGTGCTGTGGAAAGAGGTAGGAGGAGGACAGCTGCCACAGAGGCACCTGGCCCACGCGGGGCGGGGGGAGGTCCAGCTGGGCACTGCATCTTGTCCTCTGGCATTGTCTGCCTAGCCAGGCACTGCTGGGGCTCTGCTCCTTCTCCTGCGGCTTGGGGAACAAACACAGCTGGACAGCTTTGGGGAGAGAGAGTTCCTGCTTCCCTGCAGGAGGGATGGCTTCTTGGGGGGACAGTGGCTTTAACACTTCTTTACACAGGCCAAAATAGCCTCGAATTGGATAGTAGCAAGAAGAGAGCAACTATCGTTGTCTCCTCCCCATTCTACAGGGAGTTTCCATAGGTTCTTGGTGTCCCAAAGCAAAGAGTTGGTGGAGGATGGATAAGTGGAAGCTACCACTGTCACTCTCCTGGCCTGGCCTATGTCCGGCTGTTTCTCTTGGTCTTTTTCTTTCTGCAGGGATGTTCCTCTGCCACTTCCTTTGCCATCTTCAGTTTTCCTGGCTCTCTCATGGAATCTGAGGAATGTGGCCAGACCACCCAGAGCTGCTCCACTGGTCTCCTCTCTGTCTCCACTCACCATCACATATTGTCCTGGGTGCTTTACAAGCACCTCCAGATGGCCTGCCTCCACAGCGACAGGATGTGGTCACCCAAGTAGCCACCGGGAGACTCTAGGTAAACCCATAGCTGTCAGGTGCTGCTGGGCAAAACATAGCCTTGGATGCTGGCCCAAGCAGCACTATGACCCAGAAACCTTCCTTCAACTGGAGCTCAGAAATAAGTGAGGGTGGGCTGGAATCTTCCACAGGTAGCAGGGGGTTGCCATTCATCCTTCTGCCTGTATCTCTTCTCTTATTTCCATAAATTATTTGTTCTGAGCTGATAAGCTTCGGGTGCCATAAAGAGCAAGCCCTTTGGCTTAGTGCAGAGGGTGGGTTCGTCATTAGGCTTTCTTTCGGGCTATTAACAGGGCCCCAAGAAGCTTTCACAGAAGTAGATCATCAGAAGGAAGCGGCCTTGGCATAGCTCATTGTGAATTATAATGAAAACAGCAAGTTTCCTGAGTATTTTGCTGAATGCTTGTTTCTTCCCATTTGCCAGCTGCATTCAGGCAAGAAACCAGAGCTGAAGGGATGAGGCAAGGTCTGCTGTGCAGTTAGATAGCCGTCGAAAGCCACAGGCCTAGGGGAAGCCAGTCCTCCAAGCACGCTTCCCTGGGACTCCCACGTGGTCAGGAGAGCCTCTGAAAGTTGGAAGTGCCTGGAGGTGTAGCTGAGCATTGCAAAGCTGAGGCCCAGAGTTCATGGCAGGGGAAATGATGCTGGCCCAGCCTCTCTTGGTGTTGCTGGTCTAGTTTTCCCAGTAATGCACCTGGGGTTCCTGAGCCCTAAAAGCAGAATGTGGGAGGGAAGATTGTCCCCTTTTGCCACCCTTATTCTGCTGCCTTGCCTTTCCCTGCCCTCCTATCCTGGCTGCAGTGCTACTTGCAGGGAAACTGGAGCTGGCGGCTTGGATCCAAGCCAAGGTGGAGGTGGGGACTTCCTGATGGAGACTTTTTTGCAATGTCCTACTGCCACCAGAGCTGTCCTCCTTTTGAATAACTCCATCAGCTTCTTGGGGGCTTCTGGACCCATGCATGGAGCTTTGGTTTCTTTGTTTGGAAACTACACTCGGGAGAACTGGCCATCCATGGTTTTAGGAGTTAGCAGGTGAGAGAAGCAAAGGAGCCTAAAAGAACACAGCCACTTGTCCCTTGTCCTCCTAACCCACAGATCCATGAGATACAGAAGAGGATATGGCGTGGGGACATGTCAGTCATGTCTGCCAAGGCAAGTATGGTCCTCTCAGGTAGTCAGGAGCTTGGGAATTTGAGCGAAGGGTTGTCTGCCCTCTCGAGGCACCAGAGAAAGTACAACAATAAATACTGCAGCTTCTTAACCCTACACTCTTCAAGTATTGCTTGCTGTAAACAGTTTTGATTTTTGTTTTCCTTTTAATTGCCAGGAGCGGGGGGGGGGGGGTGACTGGAGAGGAATCCAAAGCCAAACACCCTTGTCCCCAATCCAATCCCCAGGGACCTCCTGGAGGCCAGGCTGACATGCCCCAGGCTGTTCCCTCAGAGTCCCTGCTTTGAGACAGGGCCTGGAGAGGTGCAGAGCTGCTTGGCATTCTCAGGGAAGCCCTGTGTCTGGTTTGTGAGAGGCCCATCTCTCGCTGATTCATAATTCACTTTAGGGAAATCAAAGGGAAAAGTACCAGAACCAGCTCCTCCTTTGTTGAGGTATGGGAGGAAATAAAGCAAACCCCAGAGCGTAGCAGAAAGCACTAGTGTGCTATCGATAGCCCTTCTCTGCGCAGCTGAGAGCAGACAGGTGTGGGGTGAAGCTCAGGTCCCTGCCGGCCAGGTGCGGCGACTCAATGGCTTTGCAAGGTGCCCACGCTCTCGCAGATGCAGGAGCTCGCAGGTCTGCCTGGCCTCTGGATTGCGACGTGTCAGTCGGGCCTTGTGCTCATTCGTCCTCCTCCTGCTGCCTTTTCTGTTTTCTACTCCAAGGGAAAGGAGACCTTCTCTTCCCCTTGGCTCCTCGCAGGGTCTCTCTGTGGTTCTTCCTGACATTTGGAAAGAGGACTCACACAGGGAGGACAGACAGGGACTAGAAGGAGGGGTGGAAATCAGAGTTAAACAAAAGTTGGACGGGATTAACAGGGAAGCTTTTTGTTTTGTTTTATTTCTGTTTTTTTCCCCCTTTTTCTTAAAAAAATTAAATAAAGTTCTCATTATTTCCCCAATATACATCAAGTGAGCTTCATGCAAAGCAGCAGTCACAGAGGCAGGCCGCTGGGGCGCGAGCCTCTCAGCTTGAAGGGCCACCGTTTCCTCTCCCGGTGGTGTCCCTAGAGGTCTCAGCCACGGATGGACGGACGGACGGCAGTGCCTGCTGTCCTACCCACAGGAACTGGCCGTGAGGAGACCTGGCTAGCGCCAGGGGAGGGCCTCCCCTTCCCCTGGGCGGAGCCTCAGTGGGCAGCAGGCTCGGGCTGGTGCCCTGCACGCGTCCTTCCTTCTGAGGCTCCAGCGTGATGGCTTGGACGGGTCCCTCTTCCCAGGAACGCGGGCTCTCTCAGCCCTCGATGGACATGGCGCTGATCAGCTGCTCCACCTTGTAGGCCAGCCGCTGCCGCCGGGCCTGCTCGTCCTGCTGCAGTGCGCCGATAAGCTGAGGGACGAGCAAACGGGTGACTGCGGGCTGGGCCCCAGGACCGCCTCCTGCAAGTCTGACATCCCTCCCTCTACCTCCCTGTTCTGCCTTCAGGCACCTAACCTTCAGCAATGGAAACGGCCACCCGCATGCACACATTTGATCAGCAGACACTCATGAGTGCTTAACCACGAGGGCACTGTCTGAGAAATGGGTCACTAGGTGACTTGGGCGCCACACAAGTGTAAAATTAAGTCAAGGACAAGAGACAATGATATCATCAAGAAGCCCAGCAGACGAGCAGTGTGAGACTGGCAGTGTAAGGGCAGCATCCTCTTCTGTGGTCAGGTGTTCTATTTTGTGAGCAGAAAGAATGTATTCCAGGATGATGATAAAATGTCTACTAGGTAAGTAGGCAAGTTGGCCTTTAAACACAGCCCTTTACTGTCAGGCGTGACTCTTGGAGTCGGCTGCATGTGCTACCCCTCCTTTTATAGACCGGCTGCTAGCAGAGGAGAGGGGTTTACCCCAACCTCATGGAAATGCGAGCGGAGCCTTGCGCTAGGGCAATAAGGTGGCGCCGACATCACAGAGAAAGGCTTCGGCTCTATTACCACCTCCAGAGGCCACTATCAGGCGCCTGGCGTGCTGGTCACCCAAACGTCATGTAGTGGGTGATACATGCACACATCTAAATATGTACATATGTTTGAATATATGTGCATGAACATACTGACACACACACATCAGCTGTTTAAAGCAGTGTGGGCACGCAGGAAGTATTAGGTGTTAGCTATTACTGCTACTTCTCTTTCCTTTGGGCTCTGGGTAAGGCACGACTTCTCAGTCTCCGGAAGCTGTCTTGTTTAACCGCTCTTCATGTTAAGGTCCCCCTACCTCTCTGAACTGTGACTGATAGGATCTGCCCATGTGCAGAAAAATAGTTGGATCCATGGTTTCAGAAAGAACGAGATTAATCACCTTGGTGGCCTGTGACGGCTGTATCCCGAGCCCTCATGTGGTCATAGGTGGGACTTTTTGGAGGTGGCTGAGTCTACAGTGTGATGGATCTGTGGTGCAGTGCCAGGGTACGTGGTCACTGAGCCAGTACACTGATTGGCTTGGTGCTGCTGTAATCCCGGCAGCCTGGACACAGTGTAAGAGGCCTGTCTTGTCCCTCCTGTTTGCCTTGCTGCCTTCTGCCCACCGTGTTCTGCCCTCCTCTGCCATGTTCCGGCCTACCTTGGAGTAGCTGATTTGGATGGAAATCTCTATAAACTGAACTAAATAAACTGTGGGTATTAGGTGTTTGGTCTCATCAATGAGAAAAAAGTAACTAAGACAATCATATAGTGTTCTGAATTGAAAAGCTACGAAACTACCTAAAGTGTTATTTATTGTGTTTTCAATGGATGACCGAGACAATGATGTATAAAGAAGCACTCTGGGAATCAGGGAGAGGTCAGGTGCCTTAGAGAGGGATGATAAGGATTCTGAGCTCATGGGCTTTTGACTCCACAAATAGGTTTTCTAAGTCAGGTTCCAGGTTGTCACGGAAGGGCTGGCAGCACTCCCTGTGTGCCACCTCTGCCCCAGCAGGACCAGCCTTACCTCCTCGCTGTACTTGCTGACGTACGAGTAGATCTCATTGAGGGCGCTCAGCATGTTGAACTCCACGGCATGCAGGCGGGACTGCTCAGCGAGGTAGGCGTTCATGTCCTGGTCACTGATGGCAGGGAGTTTGGCGATGTCTGCATAGTATCTGCCGCATACGGGACAAGGTCCTTGGTGAAGACTGAGCAAGGGCTTGCCTGCCTCTCCCCCGGCCCCAGGCGCCTGGACGGGGGTGCACCTGCCCTCCCACTACTCTTCAGCTGGCCTCTCGCCTCAAGCTGAGGCTGAAGCTGAAGACCAGTTTCTGCAGGAGACTCCATCCAGCATTGAGCTCCGGGCTGCTGGGCCTGGCCGAATATTTAGAAGCCCGGGCCCTGGCCAGACTCCTTGTATTCAATCCCCGACCTGAATTCAACCTACTAGCTGATGACTTGGGGCAAGACATGGTCAGTATCCCCATAGCAGAATGAGAACAATAACACTGTTCTTGCTTCTACTTTCCCGGACTCTGTATACGCATGTGTGTGCAGATGTGGAGCTGGGGCCTTCACGCCGAGCCACACCCTATTTCCTTTTTTTTTTTTTAAATTTGAAAATAGCCTCTTACAGAGTCAGTAAGTTGCCCAGGTAAGCTTAAACTTGTCATGTGGGATGCAGGCATGCGCCACCATACCCAGCTTCCACTGCCTATCTTAATGAGATGGCATGCGCGAGGTCTATCACAGCGCAGTTTGCTTAACCCATGCTTAACTCATGGAACCTGGATAATGATCATCAAGTTTCAACAGCACAGACACTCCTCAGAGCAGAAAGGCTAGATGAGGGAAAAGGAGAGGGTCATGAGGTCCCCGGGCCACACTCCCCGAGGGACAGCAAGCCGCGCTCCAGTGTTGGGTCCGGCCCAGGACACCCACAGGGGGTGGGGGGACGGTGCAGGGAGCGGTGCCTGCCGTGCCACACACTGCCCACCTCTCCACCCAGCTCTTGTAGCTGGGGATGTCCTTGGCGTAGAGCAGCTTATTGGAGGGCGAGTCCTTGCCCAGCCGGTGCTCCGACGTGGAGCAGGAGTCCATGAAGGTCTGGGCCACCACCGACAGGCAGGCGTCCGTGATGCTGCCCTTGTGGATGTCGAACACGAACTGCGGGTTCTTAATGACATTCACCCAGAAGCGCAGGGGGAGGCTGCAGGGAGAGGCAGAGCACCCCAAGAATGACACCTTGGCCCTGCCCCTGTGTCCTGCTAGTATTCCTGCCCAGCCCTCACCAGCAAATCTATCTTGAATGACAGAAAATGGCTGCTCCAGCAGCCCTGGCTGCTCCTACAGCACTGACCTGGGAGAGGAGCACTGACCTACTCCCTAACAATGGAGGGGTGGGCATGGGTGGGCGTGGCTAGATGCAGCCCTCCTGGCAGGGTTTTTGAAGGCCTTAGCGCCCCAAGAGAAGCCCTAGTATGGAGGACAGCGCAGTTTTCTCAGAGCTTCAGACAAAGCCACCAGGTTCCTGGAGTCCCCCTCCAGCTTTCATGGCCATTGTTGGGAGAGGGGCTGCCGGCAGCCCCAGGGGCTCCCTCAGAGCGGGCACAAAGGGCACCACCTGCCCTCTCCGCCCAGCCGGGCTGGCAGAGCTGCTTCCCAGGGCTGGCCCTGCCCAGCTGGGCCCAGAATGGGCTCCCCAGGGACAAGTTCTTTCAGGACTCTCCCCAGGACTTTCTTGTGTCTAGGCAGGGGCAGAGAGAGGGGAGGCCACTGTGGGCACCCTGGGAATGGCTCACTGTAGCCCCGCGATTTTCCCACCACAAGGGGAACCACCAGTAGTTAGGAGACTTCCTTCGGCAACTCGGGAATTTTTAAGCAGAGGGCAAAGAGCTTTTTCTGTTCTCAAGGCCAAAGGCGGAAAAGCCCGCTTACCCTCCTTCAAAGCCTGAGCAGCTGCTGTTGCCCTCCTTCCCAACTCTGCCTCTTTTCCAGCTGCTTCCAGCCTTAACTCTTCGATGCCTGTGAGGAGCGAACCTGTTCCCCAGGCGTGTCCTTCAACCCTGATGTGATGACCCCAGCTCCTGTCTTCCCCTTCTTTGTTGTTCCTTGACCCTCACAGGCTCCAGACACTCCCAAGTGGCTTTGTGCTGCCAGGTCTTGGTTAAAGGCCACTGTGCCCCACCCCAAGGCCACCCATTAAGGTTTCTGCTTGTCCTGAATTAGGCAGAGACTTGCTCACTTTCCTGTGACCTAAAAGGGGCTGGCTCAGCTGAGAGCTGGTGCAGCTCTTTGGTCCTCCTCTTCCTGACAGCTTGAGGGACTCCTACCACCTTCCTTGGACAAGGTTTGGACCAGGGGACCCTGCCCAGCACAACACCAGGGGAGTGTGCCTCCACTGCTCGGGTCTGGCCAGCTTGCAGATGGCACGGGGCAGGATGACTCAGCATTTTCTCTAGATTTTCTTCCAACGGCCCGTGCTTATGCTGGGCTGAGGATCCCTGCGCAAGATGGCTGGGATCTGCTGCTTGGATGCTGAGAACGCTTGCCCAGGGCATCCCTCAGCATGGATGCCTCACTCCATGGCCACCCAGCCTCCGCTTTTACTGCACTTCGACCAGAGCTGCAGAAGTAGGAGGGTCAGCGGCCACCATGTCCCGCAGAAGCCAGGAGGAGAAGGGGTCAGGGCTGGCTCTTTCCACACTGTTGTGTTGGTTGCTAGGACTTCTGATTCCCAAATAACAGCCGGGGCCCATCTGTGTCAGCTCTGTTTTCTGAGATCGCTGACTCCAGACAGCTGCGCGGGCTGCCTGCCCAACTGAATGCCAGGGCCTCCCCTCTCTCTGCTCTTTCCCAAAGGAAGCCTTTCACTCTGGTTTGGCCAAGCCCTGTCTGACCTAAAAGCCAGGCCTTTGCTTGGCCTGAGGTCCAGGGTCACAATCAAGGAGAGACAAGTCTCAAGGCAGGCGCTGAGGGGCCATTCCTCCCACTGCAGGTCTGGAGGTGGAGGTACCTTCAGGGAAGGGAGCCATACCTGCAGGACATTTCACCTGCTGCTGCCTGAAGGCCGTGGCCCAGGGGTGACACCTGGGGCTCAAGGGTTCAAGTCTGCACTGGACTCAGAGATGCAGACCCAAATCTGCAGTGGCTGTGAGCTCCCTCCCCACTCCCAGCCAACTCTGTCAGGGTCCTGTCTCAGGAAGTGTCCCTCTCCGAATGCCCAGCAGAACCTGGCTCTGCTGCCATTTTCCAATGTGACCTCTGAGTCGGTGACCCCAGCTCCCTTTTCCTGAAGACCAGAGGTCTCAGTGTCAGGGAAGGACTCACTCTGGGGAGGAGAAGCAGACTGCAAGGGCAGAGATTAACTGTGTGCAGTGCTCCAGCCAGGCAGGCGCCCCCTGCAGCAGGCAGCCGGGAGATCATGCTGGCTGGCTCTGCGGAGTGTGCCTGTACTGTGCACTTTAGGGGTCTTCCGTCACACAGCCCCAGCTGGGAACAGCTTGCCTTCCCATCTCCAGGGTCCCTCCCAGCTTGGGGCCTCTGAAGGCTACACCTCCTGTGGACCCCCCTGGGGTTGGTTACCAGTTGCTCTTCCAGGTGTGCCGAACATCTGTGTCATGGATGCTGTGTCTGTCTGCCTGCTCATCCAGGAAGTCAAACATGTATTTGATGGCCAGAGGGAGGGCGCTGCCCCGGTGCACAGTGCTGAATAAGGTCTCAAACAAGTCATCCACGAACTTCTGCAGGGTGCCCTGGGGGAGCAGAAGGGGGACAGTGTGAAGTGGAGGGGGAGGGGACTGGCAGGCAGCAGATAGGAATGGCAGATGGTGCCTTGGGCCTACCCTGCCTCGGGAAGCCATCTGTGCTGAGAGACTGTGCATGGTGTGACCTGGGTATGGAAGAGTAGTGGTTGGGGATTCCGGGGCTGGGGGCCTGGGGATCTGCAGAACCTCTCCTTTAATCTGCAGTTGCCTGCACTGTGATAGCAGGGGAGGGCTCCAGACCTCTGATGGGAAGACAGGAAGTGCTCTGTGTCTAGGCTTCCCAAGGGTGAGGGGGCACAAGCAGGCCGTCCAGTGCAAAGCACAGGGTGCCTCCTGGCTGGAGCTTGGCAGCACCCGTGAGGGTCTGACAGGAATTAAAAAGAACCTCAAGAAACTGGTGACCTGGCATGAGTGGCATCTGGAGCAGGGTCTTCAGGAGGGCCTCTGGGGCAGGGTCAGACTCAGAGTTGCCCCACAGTTTGCAGGTCCCAGGACCACCCCAGGGGGTCAGCAGAACCACTAACCCTCTCTCTTTGCTGGTCTTTTATTGTATGCTGGAAGCTCATGGGCAAAGTAAAAATGGAGCCGGAGCGATGGGGTCTGATGAAGTGGCTCTGGGCCTTCCCAGGAGCAAGGCCAAGAGCGCCAAGTTGGACACCGCTGTTTGAGACTCTCAGCAGCACCGCTGTGGGCCAGTCGGGGAAACCTAACCTGATTTCCGAGCTGAGCCACCTGACTGACATCCTTAAGGCTTACTGTATTCTCTTGTAGGAAGCCTAGAAGATGCTGCCTCCCACCTTCCACCAACACGTGGGCAGACGGACTGAGGTGAGAAGGAACCTTCCTTTAGATTATCTGTGAGATAGGGCCTTCATGTTTTCTCTCCCATTTTGGCCAGAAAGGGGTAGAAGAGTCAGTGGGGTAGAGACCAGCACATCTGTCCAGCTAACACTAACAACAAGGTTCCGGTGTCTTCCTGAGGGTTGGAGCCCAGACTGAGGGAGTTCTTCCGGTGAGGGGTAATGGTGGCCTAAAGGAGCTGTCGGGCAGCAATGGTACCACTGCTGCTTTAGAAAAGTAGACAGCAGCTATTCCCTGGGGACTCTGTCCATGATCCCAGACCATGCCACACCTCAGTGGGTCCCCTTAGGGCTCCCCTGGCCTGGGAAGAGCAGGAGTTACCTTGGTGGCCAGTAGCCGGGTCAGGTAGATTTCAGACACCATCTTGCTGCCCCGGTCACCTTCCTTTTGGTCACCGTGGTCATGGTTCTTCACTAGATGCCAGACCTTGACCCCGCTCTCCAGGTCTGGGGTGATCATGGGTGCCCGGGACCGAAGGCTGTCAGGACTGCCCGTGTACCTGAAGGAGGAATCTGAGGGAAGAGGAGGGGCAGTTCTCTGAGCGACAGAGCTTGTGCTCCTGCTGGCTGTCTCTTTCCAGAGTCCTGCCCATCTGCTGCATCCATTCAGAAAAATCTGGGTGCAATTGGGAAGGACCTACGAGACCTCATATTTTCTAGATTATTTTAGGGATCTCTGGTAGGCATGAGGAAAAGGAACCTGGGGTCTTTTCTAAAAGGAGGAGTCGCTCTTACTCCTTCACAAACCTGTGGTCTCAGAGGAAGCACCACGTCCATACTTCTGTCACTCTGAGGAGGTGTACCCCATCAGGGGTGACTAGATTGGCGTAGAGGGGAAGTAAATGAACCATCGCCTTTGAGGGGCAGCCAGACATGGGCTTACTGCTGCAAGAAGGGGGGTTCATGCTCCCTGGGGCCACCACAGACCCTACCCAGAGCTGACCAGACTGGCTTCCTGGGGCTCACCATATCTGCTGATGGATGTCCGAGAGATGCTGGCAGAGGCAGGGATGTTGTAGGAGGAGGTCTGTTTGGGGACCAGAGCCACCACCGATCTGTCTGACACCTGAAAGGGTGCAAAAGGAACAATATGGGTGAATGTGGGTATAGGAGGAAGTTACCTAGCCGACTACTTCTAGAGGATCATGGGATATGAGTGGGTAGACAGTAAGGAATCCAGGAACACTGAAAATAGCTGTCACTGCTGTTCTTTGCACTTTTATTGGACCAGAGTGTCACTGCCAGATGAGGCAGCTTCTTATGGGGTGGGTGAGACTGCTGAGCACCTGGAACATAGCCAGTCCCAACTGGGACAATATTCTGAATTTCTGCACCAAGATGTGCTAAACATTTGCCAGATAACCTGGATTTTAGTGATTTAGTGTACATAAGACAATATAAACTATCTCATTAATAAATTCATGTTGATTATACATTGAAACAATACTTATTTTAGATTAAATATGTAATTAACATTAATTTCATCTGTCAATTTTTGCTTTTTAATGCAGTTAGCAAAAAATGTGAAATTACACATGCACCTTGCGTGTGTGGTTTGCCCAGTGTTTCTACTGGACAGATGTGGCCTCTGCCAGTCCTGTGTGTTCCAGACAACTATTCCCATTTTACAGATAAAGAGACGGAAGCAGGTGGAGGCTTGTAACACCTTCAAGTTCACACAGCGAGAGCCAATATTGGTAGCCGGATCTGTTGCGCTCCGGAACACATATTCCCCTCATTATAAAGGATCACCTGGGATTTTATTTCAAGCCACACACACATTTTCTCTTTTGGCTCTGATCTCTTCCTGCCTGCGTCCTAGGATGTCTGAGCCACCTTGAATAGTTTCTACCAGAAAGGGCAGCTGCCCTTGGGGAGTCAAAGAGAAAGACAGTGTCTTACCCCATCCTCTGGGAGGGTACAAGGCTCAGCACCCAGCCTATGGGGATAAATAAGGAGCCATATTGAAGACATTTGGGGCCATTTTGATTTAAGATTACCCTTCATCCAATAAAAAGGGAGAATCCCCAGAATTCTGGCGATCCAATTAAACCCCTAACACGGAGGGAATAAAACAGCTATAATAATGTTATGGGCCATAAAACATTCCTATTAAACCATTTTTTATTTTAACAATTTTTATGAACTTTATAAGTTTGATTTATAGGCATACCAGTCATAAAACTATCTTTCTGGGTCTTAAATTGTCAGTCCCTCTTTCCCACCAAAAAAGAATTAAATGTTGGGAAGTCAAACTATAAATGAACATTAGTGCTAACGAGATTCCCTGATAGCCGGTTTTAGTGGTGGTGTTTAATTTTACCCTCCCTATAAATCTGCAGGAGCATAGGCAGTTTTTTAACATCTCTTTATTAATTAAGATTATGCAGATTTTCTTCCGTAGGGGCTCCGAGGACCTCGGCCTTGAGAGGGCAATGAGAGGACAATGTTCGACCTGAGGACAGCACCTGGCCTGAGCCCTCACAGTGCTGCCCGCCGCCTCACAGTGCTGCCCGCCGCCAGCGCTCTGCTGCTTTCCTGGACTGGTCAGTTTGCACCATCAGTATAGGATCTAGGACAGAGGTGGACTCTCCACTTGTCTTTCAGGAATTCCTCTTCCACTGACACCCCTAAAATGACACCCCACGCTGCCATTAAGCTGCTTTTGCCTTTGGTATTTCCTTTTCTCAACCCAACTGGGTGCCCAAGATGCCTGGTAGGCTCTGTCCTTCACTACCAGCCGGACAACTTAACCTCTCTGGTCCTTAGTCATTCCATTTGTCAGTGGGGACAATAATGACATCTAATAACCATAACTGTGAGGATTAGTAAAGGAATTAAGATGCGGAAAGGCTAAACCAGTAGCTGGTGTCCAGGGAGCACTCAGCGAGGGCAGCTCTTACTGTTGCCACTGTATTGCCACCGTTGTCCTCAGAGCTTGGGTCCAGATGTCCCCCGAAAGCCTCATGCAGCCGTAGGGGGCGGAGTTTTCAGAGGTGGCCATATGCAGTGTGTGTGATGCTGGGATTTAGGGTGTATGATCAGTTTACTGAGTGGATTGGCCCCACCCTAATCCCAACAGCTAGGTAGAGTATAAAAGGGTCAGAAAGATATAGTCAAGGGCACTTGGTGCTCTTGTTGTCTTCTGCCTGCCATGAAAGGCTGCCCTCTGCTATGCACCACCAATGATGGACTGAAACCTCTGCAAACTGTGAGCTAAATAAACCTCTCTTAACTTCAGACGTGGGTATTTTGTCTCAGCAATGCAAAAGCAATGAAGATGATCTTCACTTTCACCACTGCCATGCGCTCTTCCACCCAGGGTGAGCATGTGAGAAAAGTTTCATACTCAGTAACGCTCAATAAATATTTGATAAATGAACACATGAACAATGAATGACCCCAGGTGGTTGGAGATGCTGTGTGCAGTGAGCATTTTAAGGGCACACACGCTGTTCCATTTCTCTGACTGGGAGCTGCAGGATGGGAGGTCTAGGAACAAGTACTGGAATATCAGTGACAGAGTAGAAAGTCCCCATTCCTGCCCACGAGGGACGCAGGACTGGGGGGGCGTGGTGTTTTTCTCTTTCACACCTTCTTCTTCAGTTCTAACTGGTTCACTCCAATCATTCTGTGGGATGCACTCACCGTGTGTCATGATAGTGGGGGGACGGGGTGTGTCCATGTACAGAGTCAACAAGGAGTGATTAGGGCTACCGTGCACGTACATGCACATTCTGGGTGTCTTGGCTGTTGCCTCTAATCCTTCCAGCCACTTTCATGCATTCACTCATCAGTTATCTCCATTTTGCAGAAGAGGAGCCCAAGGTGGAGGGAGAATAAAGTCACATGGTGGCAAGGGGGAGGCAGGCCCAAAGGCAGGCCCAAGGCCTTGTCTCCACCTTTATTCTGCCTGGGCCTGGTCCAAGTGAGGCATAAGCATGGGGACGGAGGCCAGTGAGAGAGATGGAGCCCAGAAGCCCTGTGCAGGGTGCCCCAGTGTGCCCTGGCATCCTCTGTGGCCCTGAGGCTCTGGGCCGGCTCCAGGACTCCCAGCAGTCTGGTCACTGGCAGCCCCTCTGCACCCCTCCCTTTCTGAGACAGGGACATCGGAGGATATTATTAATCAGACAGTCCCCTGAGTCTTGCAGCCTGAGGCGCTTCCTCTGGTTGGTTTAATTTCCCTCGATGTCTCTCATTTCCAGTTTCTATTTTAGTATCTTCCCTGAATCCCAATCTGTCTACCTGTGCTTAATCTTAGAGTCCCCCAAGCCGCAGTCTTATGATTGTTTCCTGGGGAATGGGAGGGGGTGCTTCGTCTTCCTGGGGGGTTTACTGCTCACTGTGTCTTCCAGTCTGCAAGCACATTGCTGGTTATGCTCCATGTAGTCCACATTCTAAATGGGGCAGGGGCTCCTAGGGGACCCCTTTCTCTAAGCAGAAGACAGCTCAAGCAACTGGGCATGAGGTAGTGAGCAGCTGAACTAAAGACAAGCCTCTCAGATTCCCTGTTACACTGCAAGCCCGCATCTCAGCCGCAGAAGGAAGAAACCAAGAGGGTACTTTCAGATGGCACTGGGGGGAAGACCTCACAACAGGTAGGTCTTCCTGTAGACATGGAGACTCAGGACACATAGGCCTGAGTCTTAGGCTGGCCAGTTACACCTTCTTGGAGGGCAGAATCAGAGGACTCTGTTAATTGCAGGGGCACCGGGAACTCAGAAGTACTGTGCCAAGCTCTGTGAAAAGGAAGAAAAGGAGAGCAGACCCACTTCTAGGGTTTGGTCCCTTATGGAAGAGACTAGAAAGAAGGAGTCACTTTTGGCTGAAGTCTCCAGCGTACTAGACTAGCACAGCTGAGGCCCTGCATGATGTTGGTTGCCCAGGCCTCACCTGGTAGTGCAGCAGCGTGTTGAGCCGCTTCCAGTCACCCTCGATCTTGGTGGTGATGTCCTCGTCTTGCAGCACCACCCGGGCGATGCGGCCCTGGCGCCACTCTGGGTGGAGAAGGTGGTGCAGGGGCAGTGTGAGAGGGGCAGGGGCTGCAGGGTAAGGGCACCCATTCTGGGCCTGCTCTGGGGATCTGCTGGCCCTGGTGCCCTTGAGCTGGTGGCAGTGCTTAGATGGGTCCAAGCCTACATATGGGCGGGAAGCCTGGTTGGCCTCCCCAGCGACGGCCATGACTATGCAGTCCATGCCGAGCGTGATTTTTCTCAGGATGAAAATCACTCAGTGCCCTCGCCTGGCCTGCACTCTGTAGCATGCATTCCAGGAGGGCAGGCTTGGCCTCACACTGCGCCAACCCCCCATGGCCAGACACCTCTGTGAAGCCAGGTGACCCCTTCTCCTGCCATCACATTCTGAAGCTAGGCCTCCTACCCAAGTCCATGTCCACAGCCCGGGGCCGCTGGGAGTAGGGCACGTTCTTATACACAGCATCTAGGATCTTCTCCTTGACCTGCGTGATGGTGTCACAGTTCAACACCTTCACTGGGATCTCCGGGCTGTTCTCGTTGTCAGGATTGACGCAGTTCAGGATCTGCAAGGGGGGCCCAGGTCAGCAGCTGAAGGAGCAGTCTGGGGCAGCCCCAGGCCTCAGTCTTCTTTATGCAAGGGTTTTCCCCCCTTAGTGTGGCTCTGTTCTATACCTCAGCTCCTCTCAGCTTCCTGATACTGGCCACAAGAGCTTGAGTCTCCCTGTCCACTCCTTCTGTCCTAAAGATCCAGGTCTCTACTTCTAATTCCTGGATGGCTTTGGGGAGACTATGATCCTCAGATACAGCCCCTTTGGGCTTTGGTGACTATTCCACGTGGGTCAAGGGCTGGGCCCCCTTTTCCCCCAATATTATCTGTAGTAAATTGAGGCAGGGGGCTCCCAGAGCTCCTGAGTGAGGCAGGGCAGGAAGGAAGCCAGGGGGCTGCCCATACTCCACACACTGAAGGTACCCTTGGGCTCCACTGACCTTTCCCTCAGCTTCTACCGGCCCCCTGGATTGGCTCTGAGTAGGAAAGTAGAGTATGGATGGAGCAGGCAGTACCCAGGCTGTCCCCAGCTGGCCGTTGGCCCCTCACCAGCGTCTTGTACTCTATCTGCTGCCGGATGAGCTTGTCCTCACTCAGGGAGTAGCGGGCCTCGCCTGTGATGGCGTCGATGGGGCCCTTCTCCATCTGCTGCTTGATGGCGCAGTACAGCATGAAGAGCGGCTCCCCGGCACACTCCTGTGGACACAGGGGGGCGTGGGAGGTGTGGCTCACGCCCTTCCTCTCTTGAGTGCCCCTGGGGTGTGGAGGTGGGCAGAAGGGGCCAGAGGCTCCAAGGGCTTAGAAGCATCCAGGCCGGGGAATCCTTGCTCTGAGGGCTGGGGCCCCTCTCACCTTCAGGAACTTGTGCAAGAGGAAGGCGAACCAGTTGGTTAGCATCTTCTCAGCCACAGACTCGGTCCTGGGGAGGCAAAGGAGGGCAGTCATTACGGGGGGCTTAGACTCAGTGCTGAGCTTGTTATGGGGAACACCTAGCATCTGCCCCTCCAAACAGTCAGTGTCTCACTATCTTGGGTTCAGATCCTGGCTCTGGCAGACGCTGGCTGTGTGACTTTGGGCAACTCTGGCTTCAGTTTCTGCATTTCTAAATGGGCACATGTAGTATCTACCTCACACAGCTGTTAGGGGTTGAAAGAGTTGATATTCAAAGTGGCTCAGGGACACACTGTAAGCACTAGCTAGCGCTACTGCTGTCCTGTGCACTCCAGAACCAGCCCTGCAGAGTGAGAGCAGCACTTGAGTTTAGCCAACAGGATGGGTTTTGCAAGCGGCCCCTCCCTTCCTTCACCCCATTCTTGAGCCACGAATGTGGGGACTTGGGTAGAAACAAAGCTGCTGTGACAGACCCTTGGGGATGGAAATGCTGGAGGGGTATTTTAACTCGCTCCAAGGGGTGCAAATTATACCCTCTGGTTGCTGTAAATCCCAGGCATTTGCCAGGGTTGCTCAGAAACCTGGGCCTGGGAGAGAGTGACAATAGCAGATAAAATTGCAGCTTTCTCTCTGGGCCCTCCCAGCAACCTCTCCCAGCATTGTGCCTGAGATTAGCTTTAATTTAAATACAACAGTTCCTAATGAGAGTTTCTAATGCTTGGTTGGCAGGAAGGGGGCTCAGTAGTCATAAACCAAAGCCGCGCTCCTTCCCTGCTCACCCCGCGTGGGCCTTGGAAGCCTGAGACCTGGATAACAGAAAGCTAAGGAGAAGAGGCCACGAGCACAGAGGTGGCTCCTTCCCACCCCTGCTGCCCAGAGCAGCTCCTGGGCTGGGGGGGGCTCCCCATGGCCTCTAGAAGGGGTAGATGAAGGGAACACCCAGTCTGCAGCCCCCTCCCATACCAGGAAAATGGCAAGCTAGATGCTGGCGATTCCAACCCAGGAGGCGGGGCAGAGAAGCTGTGCCACATCTCTAGCTCAGGGTGAGGTGATGGAAGAGCCAGAGGAGGTGGGCACAATTTCTACCCACGCCATCAACATGGCAGCCAACAGCCCCAGATAGCACTGCGCAGCTGAGCACTCGGAACATGGCCCCTGTGATCGAGCAAGTGAAGTCTGCATTTTATTTCATTTTAGTTAATAGCTCCCTCTGGCTCGTGGCCTCCATGCTGGACAGCATAGCCCCAGAAGTGGGGAGATGGGCACTGCAGAATAGGTATTATTCTCATTGTGTCTAGGAGGAGTCTTAAGTGGCAGTGCCAGCAAGCAGCAAAGCTGAGCCTCAAGGTGAGGTCCCCATGCAGCCTGGGCCCACTTGGCTGCTTAAGGCACTGTAGCCCTTTGGGACCGCAGGACAAAATCTACTCTGGGAGTCTGGTGGGTGGAGGCCACGCCAAGTGTGCACCATTTCTGGGAACCGGGCATCTTTCTGCATGGCATAGGTGTCTGTTTAGTGAGACGCCAAGCCACTGTTCAGACGCTGCCACCCTCCCTTGCCCTGCTGTGGGTCAGACCTCCGCAGCAGCAGCTTGGGGTGGTTCTTGTTCTCCAGGTTCTTCTCGATGAGGTCGGACAGCAGCTGCTTGAGCACGTCGGTGGCGTACTCCAGGCGGCCCTGCAGACCAGTCATGATGAGCGAGGCCACGTTGCCACGGTCGCGCATGGAGAAGCTGCGCTGCAGCTCCAGGGTACGGATGAAGGTCAGCAGGAAGACCTTATTGTTAATGAGCTGGGCGAAGAGCTTCAGGGCCTTCTCCACGTGCTGCTGCCCATTCCCTTGGACCTGGGAGGCATGGCCAGGAGAGAGCTCTCTGAGTGCAGGCTCTTGGGTGGGCCTGCCCGTGAGGACATGGACCAGCTAGGGGCTCTTTCCACAAGGCCCGTGGAAACCCCCACCTGGTTGCCCTCTATGCTGGTGAAGGAGTGCTGTGATGAAGGATTTCCACCAAGGCAGGTTGGGCTCTGTGAGTAGTTTTCCAAGGGACACTGTGGGCTTCACCCAAGGACACAACAGGAGAAAACCCACCTAACTTTCTCAGTGCACCAGCTTCCCCTCAACAACCCCCGCCCTGATGCATTAATTTCAGTAAAGCAAACCAACAAGGAAGGAACACACTTCACAGATCCTGTCTTTCTTAAGCCATCTTAAACCCATTCTATAAGAAGGTGGGCTTTTTGTCATTAATTCAGTCATCAATTAAAAATGACAAACAGTAACCCTCATCCCAGAGTCGTTCCCAGCTGTGAGGGTGCCCCTTGTTGTGACTTGCCCAACAGGGCTATTGTGTGAGACTCTTCTGCATCATCACTTCCCACTCCTAACCTGCGTTCGGGATGTGGGACTGATCTGGGCTTCCTGGGAAAGGTGGGTGTGTGTCCCTGCAAGGTGGCTGAGCAAGGAGACAGGTGTTACCTCCAGCTCCCGCAAGACGGGGTGGTCCTCGATGCCCGGGAACAGGACTCGCATAGCGTAGGTACGATAGTCCAGGTATGGGATTCCGGATCGGTCTAGGTCACTGGTTAGTTCATTGATGTCGGTCTGGAGCTCAGCAAAAGCTGTGATAGTAAGTAGAGACAGGGAAACTCAGGGGAGCCCTAGTCGGGGGAGAGGACAGCAGGAGAAGGAGGTGAAGGAAGGGGGTCTGGGGTGCAGGGCTGAGAGGGTTAAAGGGGCAGGTGGGAAGGCCACAAGCCATTTCTAGAATGCCTGCTGTAGTTTGGATTTTGTTTTCCCCAAAGCCCCATTATTAAAGGCTTAATCCACACATTGGTGGCAGTGGAGGTGGTGGAAGTTCAAGGGGTAGAGTCTACCAAGAAGTCTTTAGGGCACTGGAAGCTGGTCCTGGAAGGGGACCATGAGACCTGCTACAGTTTGAATCTAAAAGGTCTCTCCCAAACCTCATGTGTTCTGATGCAGGGCTTTTGGAAAGTGGTTGGATCATGGGGACCTCGCTCACGCACTGATGAGTTCATTGCTGAGCGCTACTGAGGAGGCTGTGGAGGAGGGGAGCCATTGGGTGTGCTATTGTGGGATAGATAGTGCTTTTTTTTGCATGTGCAGGATCTCACTACCTTGGACTCAAGGTGATCCTCCTCCTGTTTTCAACCTCCCTTGCGCTGGGATTACAGGCATGAGCCACCACTCGGTCACTAGCTCAGCACACCTGGGGGTGGGGCTGGCGCAGCATGTGGTGCCAGGGATCGGACCCTGCTCCCTGCACTTGCCTAAGCAGGTGCTTAGTCTGTTGAGGTATCTTGCTGGCCCTTGGACAGACACAGCTCTTGCTCTGGCCCTTTCTTTCACCCTTGCTTGCTGGCAGCCTTGCGTTTAGCAGCTTTCTTCCACCAGTCTGCTCGGCTGTAACATTTTTGCTTCTGAGCCAGCCGAACAAGGACTGAACTGTCTCAGACCTTGAGCCAAAAGAGACCTTTACTCCTTTAAGCTCTGTATGTCAGCTACTTTGTCTCAGCAACAACAAATGCCCAACACAGTACTCTAGCTGTTTCCTCCCCTGCTCTTCCACTTCCTGGCAATGACAAGCGAGGGCGTGCTCTACCATGGCTGCCTTAACATAGGCCTCAAAGCAACTGGGCCAACAGTTCAAGGCCGAAACCTTGAAAATGGTGAGCCAACCTCTTTACTTTAAAGGCTGATTATCTAGGTACCAGTTACAGTGACGGAGCACTAACACACTGCCTTCTTTAATTAATGAGCTGATGGTTGGTCTTTATATTGTCTTCTATACTTACCTATGACTTTGATTTTTGGTAAATATTGCACTGTGGTGAAAAGAAAGAAAAAGGAAAGAAGGACACCACACTTGAAGCATTTGGTCAAGATATCAGAGATGTTAAGAGCAGAGGAAGAGATGCGTGGGGAGACCCACTGAAGGGCAGCCCTTTCCCGAGCAAGAGGACAAGCCAAGGAACAATTCCTTCAGCAGCCCTGGTCCCCAGCACTCAGCCAATGGGCGGATCCGGGATGTGCAGGTTTCTGAAGTCCCATCCCAGCGGCAGCCCTGCCTTTCAGGTACCCAAACTCTGTAGAGCATGAGGTGGAGCCTCTGCCTCACCTTTCTTAGCATGGCTCCTCCTTTTCATCTGGCAGAGCCCTTGTTTCTGATAATGCTGTTTGCACCAAAAGGAGAAATGTTTTGATTCCTAATCGAGATGTTTACTCAGAAAACCTGCCAGGTCCTAAGCCCTGGAGAATGCCGGGTATATTTGTCACCTGGTGGCTGTGGCTGCGTGGGAGATGGAAGAAAACACAATTGCCACTCCTACACACAGGGACAGCCAAGGTTGCTGCCAGCAAGGCCTTCGGAGCACTCACCCTGCAGTGCTGATAGAAAACAAACCCTGGGGAGGCGATGGGGTGGAAAGAAGGGGAGGTGCCTGCCTGCTTTTCCTGCCGCTGCTCCTAGATGCTGCCCAGATGCCTCTGCAAAAACCACAACCTGATGCTTGTGCTTGGAGGGTGGAGTCTGAGCCAGTGGGGCCCCTGAGGGGACAGGGGGGACCTGGGGCTGGGAGTCCGCTAGATTGTGGGTGGAGCCACAGCAGAGTGAGGCAAGACCTAGCAGCACACCTTAGTCCTCACAGTAAGCCTCCTTCTCGGGGCTGCTCTGGATTTGGGGAAAAGCGAGTTTCTGGGGACGTGGGGATCAAGGCAGTGTGAAGGGCCGGAGTGAGGGAGGGAATGACAGGGCCAGTGGTGAGGGGTGGCCCAGGGTCTGCTCACCCTCCTTGCACTCCAGAGCCACACGTGACTCCAGGTTGTCCATCTGCATCTGGAGCCGCTTGAGTGTGAGGTCGTTTTCCCTAGACTTGCGCTTGTAGGCGATGAGGACAATGATGACAATGATAAGCAGGAGGCTGCCACCCGCCGCAATGCTGACGATGGCCGGCAGGGTCAGCAAGCTGTCAGCAAGGACGCTTACCGAGCCGGGAGAGAACACCATTCCGCCCACGTGGACCTGCGCACCATACACATACACACAGATACACACAGATGTGCATGGGGGCAGAGCTGTGCAGGCCACCACACCCTGACAGCGTGAGCAGGAAGCGATTTCCCGCCCTGGTGTCTGTCTCCTTCTTGTGCAAGTGTGACTGCCACGGTCTCAAGGTAGGATGCAGGAATGAGGAGATGTCAGGGTGTGAGTCAGGCAGCAGTGAGGTGGAAGGAAGAGCCTGCATGACAGACCCCACATGGGCTGCGAGCAGGGGAGGGAGAAACGGAGGGGCTCACTCACCATGACCTTGTGCTGCCCGGTGAGGTTGGGGGGTTCACAGAGCAGCTGCGTCTCGGACACAGTGACTGTGCATGGTGTCTCGCCGATCAGCACCGTGTAGTTGAGTTTGGCCCCTCCAGAGGCGGGAGGGCAGAGGTTTTTGCCCTGTAGAGAACAACAGTCAACAACAGGAAGAACTGACATGAGCACACAGACATGATTTACGCCTACTTCAAAAGAGATGAAGGAGCTAGAGGAACAGTGGCCAACAGTAGATGGCCTGGGGTGGGGTTCTAGAGAGAGCACCAAACAGCTGCCATGTACAGAGAAAGGGGACACAAGGAGGAGACACTAAAACTGGAGAAGACAGAGTAAGAAGCAGGGGAAACAAAAAACTTAACAAGGATATTAGGATGAGGGTATATGGGATTGAAGTGGAAGAGTTGGGCAATGACACTCTTGGACAGATAGCACCAGGAGCCTTTGACTGACTGCCCAAGTAGCTGGCACAGAGGTGGCTTGTAAGACAAAACAGCTACCCTCGAGGCCCTGCTGAACTTAAGGTTTCCATAACTTCTGAGAACAAACAGGGAGAGCAGAAAGTGTCACTGAGAATTGAGCTGTATAGCACAGAGCTCAGCTGGTATCTATTAACAGCCTCCTCCTCCTCCTCTTCCTCCAGGAGATGGTACTCTGGGATCCGTGTTTGCAGGGGGGTAAAGTGGAGAGCAGCTGGGCAGGACAGGGGGCTGCTGTCCCACATCATGGCCCCTACCTTCAGGATGATGGGCGACCCTGGCTTCTGATCCAGGACACCTGTCGGGCTGAGCAGCTCGAAGGTCGGGTTGGGGTAGTAGGTGAACTTGGTGTCATTGTAAATCAGCAAGGACTGGACGTTGTTAAAGACGAACCCGAACTCATCAGGCCGCTCCACGGTGTCCAGGCCAGGGCGGTAATCAGTGGTCAGAGAGGGTGCCAAGCAGGTAAGGGTGGTTGCATTCACAACTTTACACACCTAGGGGCCCAGAGAGCAGAGTTCACATGGTAAGCTCCCAGGAGCAGAGGTGGTGTCCAGGGTCTACTTCCCACCCCTGCCATCTGGCTGGTCATCGCCGCTGGCTTGCACCTCTTTGTTCCATGGCAGGTCCTTAGGGAAAAGGGCAGTGGCATTTTCCTTACCTCAGGCTGGGGGAGTGCATCTGACCTCATTCATTCATGTACTCATCAACATTGAGTGCCTACTTTGTGCTGGGCACTGAGCTAGGAGTTGGGATTGCTGAGGGAAATAGTTGCAGGCTCAGGGAGCAGATGGGTGATTTAACCAGTATTATAGCCTGGTCTGTTGAAGGGCCTAGAGCATTATAGCTGCATAAAACTGTGAGATGCATGAATGGGTGGGAAACATGCCCTGGTGGGAAGGACTCAGGAATGTGTATGCGTGTGGGAGTGCGGGTGTGCTGACCTGGAGCAAGAAGAAAGGAATACCCTGTACTCTGAAGGATGAGTAGGCTTACCTAGCCAAACAGGGAGTGGGGACAAGTTCCAGACAGACAGAGGGGACACAGAGCAGTGGGGGAGGGGAGAGAAGGGGGGGTTGGAGGGGGAAGAGAGAGAGCAGGATGCAGTGTAGGTGAAGACGCTGTCTTGTGTGTAGTATGTTTGCAAAATAAACTGATGGCCAAAGAGGATCATGCAACTCGGCATGTCTGACTGAGGATTTCCTCTTCTCTAACCATGCGTCCAACCCTGGACTAGGCAGGAGATTGGAATTGACACTGAGCCTACCATGTCCCTTTTCTTGTGTAGACTTGGGCCTGCCATTTAAACTCCTAGCAGGCGTGGCCGTTGCTTATCACAATCTGTGTCATTTTCTCCCACTGGTTACTTCCAGGGCCGCCGGTAGTGGCAGGCAGACTGAGGAAACCACAGAAGGATCCAGCCTCCTGTCCCCTCTCCTCCTGGCTGCTGCTCATGCAGCTTGGCTTCAGCTCTGGGAGCCAGGGCATCCTGGAGCAGCCAACGGCATCTCCGAGAACTCAGGTCACCCAGCACAGGTTGTCCTAGCAGGCCGTGTGTGCAGGTCTGGCCAACCTACACACAATCTGGCTTCATGTTCACAAACAAGACCATGTGTGCAATGGCAGAGAAGCCGCCACTTGCGTAGAGATCGTGTCTGGAGATGCTGTCAAAGCGTCAAGTCCAAGTCTTAGCTTTCCCTTTCCTGCGAGAGCTGGGGAGTGGAAACAAAGCACTGGAGCATCGTGCTGCGGAAGCGGTGAGTACCTGTTTCCACCACTTTCACAAACACACAGCAGCAGCCCCTGTGACTTACTGGCCCCTTCCTGTTGCAGCTGGGGACACTGAGGCACAAGAAGAGCAAAAGGTGCAGTTCCGCCAGGGAGTGGGATCTGCAGATAAGATACCTGTCACCTCTCCAACCACCCTCCCAATTCTTCCTCCCACTCTTGCAGTTTTCCTAAACTAGGCTGCTCTATGAATAATCAAATCAGCCCCAAACAAGAGGCCTCTGTGTGCTTCCTGCCCTGTGCTGCTTCGGCACTTTGTCTGCCAAACATTTGTCTGGGCTTTGTGGCTTCACTCAGCCTTCCTTGCCACCCACTGAGGTTGCTCTGGAACCTAAAGCAAGGAGGGGAGGCCCAGGCTGAGGATGAGGGGGGCCCAGTGGATCCACCGTCCTGCACCAGCACAGGGCAGAGGTCATGAGCACCTGCCAGGCTGGGGGACATGTGGGACCATATACCCTTCCTGCCAGCCACTCACTGGTCCTCCAGGAGGTGGAGCTACATCTTGGTTCCTCAAAACACGGCCATGGTAGAGTGGGGCTGGGAGCAGGGCTAGGGAGACTCCTGCCTGGGCTGCTGTGGAGGCTTTGTGAGGGAAGAGGGCCCTCGGGGCTTGTACCAAGTCTTCTGATACATGGGAGCCTTCACCCAGTCTGCTCTTGCAAGGGTTCTGAGGACACAGCCTGCAGCCTTTGGGGAATCACCCTTCTGGATCACACACTCACTTTCCAAACTGCACTGTAGTACTTTCATGTGCTTTATTTTCTGTCTGTTGATATTTGATGCTTAGGGCTTTGCTGGCCAGGGAGAGCTTATTCATACAGGATTCTCAGAGATGGCAGTGGGCTGCCCTTCATGGCCGTGCCCAGCACACGCAAGCCAACGACCCAGCACCTCCTCACCTGGTTTCTGTGCGCTGCTCTGCTCACCTCAGGACTGGTGCCAGATGCCGAGGGATAGTGCTCATGCACAGAGTCCATTAAAATTGCTCAAACCAGCCAGTCCTAACCCCGCTGGCCCCACTGTGCCTACTGCTTCCTGTGGAGACCACAGGAGAGGCTCTGGCCATGCTCTCCTCCCCTCTGCCTCCTGTCTGCCTGCCACGCCCCCAGTCACTCCGTGGCATGGCACAGTGCCTTCTCTTGGAGTCCAACCTGTGAGGATCGACACCATACTCTGGCCTTGCCAAGTCTGAATAACATAAGAAAACTTGTACTTAAAGGCACGCACGTAATTTTCTTGGGCACTCTATCCTTTCTGGGTGTGAACTCATTGAACCATTCCTGAGCTCACCCTGCCTGAGGCACCGGCACTTGCGGAAGTGTGAGCTTCCGGGAGCACAGGGCGCCAGGGAGGTGGTGGGCCAGGTGCTCTTCCCACAGGCTGGGCTGTGCGCTGGGGAAGAGGCCTGTGCTCGCCTCACCTGCAGCACTGTGGCCACGGGGGCACTGCAGTGTGACACAGGCGGCCCCATGCCTTTGTCATGGTGCACATTCCAGCTCTCCAGCACTTCCCGTGGCCTAGTTATGAGGAGCATGGATGTCTGGGCTCAGACATGGCCCTGCTACCGGCTACCTTTGCAGTTTGCCCAGCCATGCAGTGAGCGGACTGACCTTTCTGGGTCCGACCTCCTAGCACACTGCCTTACTTTGTGTATGCTGGTGTTTCCCACAGGGCCTCGGCACCCTGGAGAAATGTTGAGGATAACAAGAGAGACACAACATCACTGTCCACATCCCCAGTGTAATCTCACCAATCCCCTGAAAGTCAGAACACTAACAATAGTGATTCCTGTGAAAAACAGTAATTGCCCAAATAGCCATCTTTTAGGCTAAATTAAAAATATAATAATGGTTCAGATAATACTGGCTGTGAAGAGCAAGATGAAGCCATTAGAACAAACTGAGAACTATACAAAACATAGCAGAGCTTGTGCTCCTGACTAAGAGGACTTTAAAATCTCACACACACAAAGAAAAAAAAAATCAATAGTGGAAAAAAAAAAATGAAATGACACAGCTCTGGAAAGAGAAATAAAAGAAAATGTTCAATTCGATCATCTCAGCAATTAGTTCCCGGCCAGGGCCAGTACCACCTGTGCTCAGTGATTAACATCATCGGAGCTGGCGAGTGGCTCGCGTGCTGCAGGCCTATAAGGCAGGCCTTCTACTGGTCACGTTTATAGTGGGGGCGCGCAGGATCAGAGAGGCTGAGCTCTTTGTGAACGTGCAGCTGACAGAGCAGAGGCGAGCTTGAGGGAAGTTTCTTCCACCCCCACACAGCCTCTCACGGGGCCTCAACGTGCCTGTGTTATAAACAGGGCCCATCTGCTGCTGCCTCTGCTCTGAGGACTCTGCTTGTACACCCTTGCTCTCTCGCTCTCTGACAACCAAGTACACGGTAATTATAACAGCCGTTATAAGGCTTAGGTATTGGGCACCGGACTTCCAGACTCAAGAGTTTTGGGCCAGTTTTCCCTTCCAGCATCCCGGCTTCCTGAGCCTAACTCGTAGCTCCTGGTATAGCAGGACATGCACAGGGAGTGGCTACTCACATTGACGGACTCTTTGCCATTAAACTTGACTCGGATCCGCGGCTCTTGGATGACATCCAGGTTGAAGCCTGTGATGGTCAGGGGTGTATGGCCACTGGGAACAAGCGAAGGCTGGGTTAGGTAAACCTCCAAACCCGGTGTGGTGAGCCTCGGCCCCTGGGATCCCTTTGCTGAGCCCCATGTCAGCTGCAGGGATGGTGGCCCAAGAGACAGCAGCCTCACTCCAGCCTCTGCCTCACCTGGTGATGCTCCACTCGGGCTCGACGCGCTGGACCCGAGGGTCATCTATGTACTCGAACTGCAGGCTGTTATCCACTCGGGCTCTGTCCACGCTCACTGAGACAGGGACTGGGCCCAGCCCGATGGATGATGGGGGAGAGACACACACAATTTCGTTCATTGACCTCCTGGGGGAGACAGCGTGAGTTTGAGAAGAAAGGCATGGGCAAGAGTGGTGTCTTCTGGCTTGAATAGGTCTTGCTTTATCTTGGTCTTAACCATCCAGCAGAAAAGTATAAAAATGAAATATAAGAAGTAAAGCCATGCTGTTATGTTGAGCTGTAGGGGACTCAGGTCAACAATTTCTGACATTGCCAGTCAAGCAGAAGACCCAATACTATTATGTACTGCTGGACTCTTTTAGAATATTTTGTTGAGTTAACACACCTATAATATTGAAAAGGCCCAAGGGTATGTCACAGGAACTGACTTGATGTTTTTCCCCTTTTTTATTAGTATATGTTCAGGATATCTAATAAAGACATTCGTCCACTGAGACAGACAGACAGACACACACACATACGCACACACACACACACCCGCAGCTTGATCCTTTTTACTTCCCCTTCTTCTCCCCTCCCTCCACCTCCCTCACCCACATCCTCTTCCCATCTGCTCAGAGTTTATCTCCCTGTTTGTGGCCCGCTGTTCTTTTGTGCTCCCTCTATGGCACACATCTGTTATCGGTGCCCTCTTTTCATTTGTGACTTGATCCTGGTTGGATTAGGGAGGAAACACATTGGGGAAGGGGCTGGAAAATAGAGGGCAGGCACAGAGCTCCGATCTTTGGATTTTTCTAGACTATGACTAATCAATGCTTAGTCTGGCCAGTTTGTCAGCAAATATGCATGGAGTACCTCATATGTTTAGTGATAAGCACCCAGTGCTTTTGTAGCATTTGTGGTACAAGACAGATTACCAGGCAGATGGCCCTGGGCACATGGGGTTCCCAGGCCTGGATTTTCACAATTTTCTCAGGAGTTTCTGCATTCCCAGGGTTCATGGGAGCAGCTGACAATTATAGCTGTTAATTATTTATGCCTAGGAGATGTCCTGAATGTGGTTCTGTGTGCTTATAGCACCTAGCCACCTAGCCTCTGTGTTTCTGTGCACCAGCATAGGTATTCAATCTGTGTTTGCTTCTCATGGTGATTGCAGGACTCCTGGTTGCCTTCTCCTCCTGGTAGTCTCATAGCCCTCACATCCAACGGCCTTGACAGGTACCTAGCCCCCAGCTCACAGAGGATGTCTGTTGACCAGTGAATGGTGTGCATATCCCACAATGGCCGGAACAGCATTTTGGCCCAAGTAACACAGAGGTGATGGGGCGGGTCTGCCCATGAACACGTGCACATGTCCCAGACACAGGCTTCTGGGTGGTCTTCAGGTTTATCTTACCCATAGAACTCGCAGGTCTGGTTGCCCAGGTACACAGCCACACTGCTCCCAGCACCAAGGTAATGGCCTGTGATGGTCACCATGGTGCCGCCGGACTCTGGCCCTCGGATGGGGTTCAGTGACAGCACTGAAGGGTTCTTTGGAAAGAAGCAGACACAGCTTAGGCTCAGAGCTGGACCTCAGGCTGGGAGGAGGGGAGATTCAAGCCAGAGGACACCACTCTTGCCCTTCCTTCATGGTGAGAGGGGAGGTACTTCTGCCCTGGGAAGCCCCAGATGCTTTCTGATTCCTTCCGGAGAGTCAGTCCAGGGAAGGCAGAAGGCCATGCACTGGAATTAATGAACTCTCAGGGGAGTCTTATGCTCGTAAAAGCGAGTGACACTGACTAATCTATCAATTAGTTTACAAATTGAGAACAATTTGAAAATGCTTCTCTATCTAAAGCTTGTCTTGATTTTTTTGGCACAAAATCTATAGGGCTGAAGAAAGCATCCCTGCCTAGACTGGGCTGTGGAGAAGCTGTGTCCTAAATGGCCTGAGTGCATGTATTCTGTCCCTCCCTGAGCAGGGCCCGTGATCAGTTGTCAGTACAGTAAGCATTTGATGTGGCTTCGATGCCCCTCGCTAGGCGGATGGCACACTGCTGGCTGGAACTTTTTAGGGGATGTGCTAGGTTGTAATATTAAACCTAAAGCTCAAAAGAAATGGCTTGCTCAGGGTTTGCCAAGCAGCTGTCCTACGTTAGAAGGGGGCTGCTTCTGCCTGGAGGGCAATGAAGTACATAGGGAGCTACCATGCACGTAGGAATTCTGGACTGCACTGAATTCTAGACCGCTGGTGGGACTAGGCAAGGCTCAGCCTTCGTGTGGATGTAGATTTGTTTACTTGGCAAGTGAGGCAGGTGGGCAGGATTGGCCCTAAAGCCCCTTCCAGCTCTGGCTTCTGCAGCTGCTCCCGAGTGACCCTCCCACATCTGGGGAGGAGACGCAGAACCTTGGTTCCACATAGGTCCTCATATGCTCCAATCTGAGCAGGAACTGTATGAGGTAAAGACAGATGCTAAGGGGAGAAGACAGGACCTGCAAAACCTGAAATAAGCAATAAAGTGCTTGAGAGAGAAGAGAATTCTGAGGCCTAATGATTTTTCAAAACTCTTAGCAAGGCTGGTTTGACCCCATCTGCTAGTGTGAACGCTTTTTAATGGAGTACTCAATGCGGCAATGTAGACAAGTATTAGGCCATGGAAGGAAGTTATTGATTCAGAATGAATTTAGTGACCACAGACTCCAGGGCCTCAGAAGTGAGTTATTGATTCAGTGTGAATTTAGCACCAACCCCGCAGAAAACTTCTGTGATGCCACTACCTGAAGGGGTGCTCTCAGACATGAGTGTGCGTATGTGTGCACACACGTACATGTGCTGACACACCGTGGCTCAGTCATGCACGCTTTTCCCAGTCCTGGGTGTGGAGGCATTGTCCTTACTCAGTTAGGGGGCTCCTCTGACCCCCATTTAAAATATGCTTGGCAGAAAAGACATATTTCATTAGGTCCCTGTGACCATGTGTCACATTGAAGGGACAAAGGGCAGCCCTGTCCATCACTATCTTGCATCCACTTTTGAAGAATGGTTCCCTCTGCTTTGCTTGGTTGAGAACTCTGGTCTTGGGCCTTCTGGGGATCTGGAGTCCAACACACCCCAGGAAGTCAGAGTCATCAGCAGTGAGGCCCCACATTCCCTTTCTGGGGCTCTGAAATGGATGGTAGGAAGCCCGGTCAAGCCCGACTTGGGAGAGTGGGGAAGACATATGTGCCATACTGGGTGCCAGCCACATCCTAGACCCAACACTCACCACAAAGGTGTACTGCTGGTGGGACTTGGTCATGAACTCTGGCTTGCACTCGCCGATGCAGAGGCGCACGGGCCCAGAGGTGGTCCCCACCAGGGCATGGCCCATCTCGCAGACGATCCTGAGGAGAGAGTAGACCTTGAGTAAGAGGTTACCAAGAGCTGCCATCACTGCCCTGCTTGCTCACTGGCCACACTGAACATCTCGTCACAGTTTGGCAAGAGTGCTGGTGTGGACCAAGAGCCAGTGTGGAACTGTGTGACCTTGGACAAAGCACTTTCTCTCCCTGGGCTTGAGTCTCATCTCTGCTGTGGGAGTTGGACTGGATCATAACTGAAGCCTCTGATTGTCTCTATGCCTCTGACACAGCATGTCACCTAATTCTGTGGCTGAGCTTGTAGTCCCCAGTGTCTGGTCTTGGGTCAGTTCCCAGTATTTGCAGCGTGAACTGAAGTTCAACAGTGGGAGGCAGGGGCAGCAATCTAACTGGTGTTCTCTCCTGACCTTCCTGAAAGGGCAGTGAGGGCCTAAATGTCAAACTGATTTGACTGTGGATGGTTTCCTGCAGTGAGTTTTAAGAAGGGGACAGATAATCTGTTGAGATAGTGAGACCAGCAAAGCCAGCACCCCCAGGAAAATGGGGGGAGTGCAGGCCTGCGGCCTTGGATGGGTGGAGGGAGGGAAGTGGAGGAGTTCATTAGGCTGCAGTGGACACTGTGCTCCCACTTAATCATGGCTGAGTGCATGAGGCTGGGAGGCTAGAGGGTGACAGTCCCTGGGGTGAAGTCATGCCTCCCGCTCACAGGCAGCCACAGTGGGTGGCCACGTTTTCCCCAGTGCAGCAGTCCAGATCGATACTGCTGGGTGTGTCTTCCCTGATGCTTGAGATGAGAGGCACAAGCACATGGAGGCATCGGCTGCTTTAGACACAGCAGCTGCTTGGAAAGACAGGGACTGAGGAAATCAGGTTCTTTCTTGGACCACCTGCCTGGAATTGCAGGGCCTGCGGAGGGAGGGTCCCACCAGGCACAGCGCAAGGGAGGCTGGGAATGCAGGGCAGGAAGGGTTTGCCTTGCCTCCCCATCCTGTTTAAGAGTTCTGAGCTCTCTGGTGGCCCTGGTAGGTTTGCTTAGTGGGGAGTCAGAAAAACAGCCCCCCTCCCCCCCGCTAATCCCCTGCATTATCCTGGCACGGTGGGAAAGATCCATGTTTAACCGAGCGATGCTATCTCAACAGCTTCTCTAGGAAGGAAGGTAACTAAACAGAGATTTCATTTCGATGTAATAAAATTTGCATTAAACAAATACGCTGTGTGCTCACACACACGGCACGCTGCTGGTCTCCCTCTCCTTCATAACAGTTAATCCCAAATAAGTACTTTCACTCCTGGCGAATATTTACTTAACATGCAATAACTGTCTTATTACGTTCAGCACGTTAGATGCCGGAAGAAAGCACTGGAAGAGATGCAGGAGTATTCTCCTCTCCTTTTCTCTATGAATAAATAAATTATGAGCAGACACAAACAGGAGAGTGATGATCAATTAGTGTTTGACATGTAAACGTCTCCTTGAGCCTCATTAGGGGAGCACTGGAGAACCTTAATCTAAGGTGTGACGCGTGGTTATTCTCATGCTGCTGCTTGGAGTAGTAATTGTCATCCTGTGCCCTGGGTGCCAGCCCCTGCTCTGACCTGGGGTCCCTGACATTCTCCTTTACTCTCAAGGAGCTCGCAAGGAGAGTGGATTATAGAAGAGGCAGAAGGAGATGAGCCTTTCCTCTTTCTGATTGGGCTGTGCTGCCGGGGACACTGTGGGTGTGGCCCTCCAGGAGCAGAAGAGGGAGAAGTCCTTGCCCAGGAGAATTCAAGAAGAGAAGAAATAGCAAAGCACACAAGGTCTGGGCCACCCTGGAAAATCCCAGGGCTGTCGGGAAAGGAGGACCTCCACAAGGCCCTGAGGGGGCTGCAGAGGCCTTGGGCTTCTTGGCAAACTGTCCTGAAGGCATTTTCTTGCTCAGGATTCAGGTTCCAAAAGCTAAGCTCTAGGGGCTGGGGAGATGGCTCGGTAGAATAAGAGCTTCCCAGGCAAGCGCAAAGGTCTGAGTTCAATCCCTGGTTCCGCCAAAAAAAAAAAAAAAAAAAAAAAAGGAGACAGAGTGCCCCTGGTTGAGTGGGCTGGAGGCAGGGCCCAGAGCTGGGCTGCTGGGAGCCTAGCAGCTGCCCACACTGCCCTCCTGGTGACGCTCGCTGAGCCCTTTGGGCTGAGGGCAGGAGGATGTGCTCAGCCATGGCCATGGCCCCAGAAAGATCTAAGTGGAGGTCTAAGCACAGATCACAGTCCTAAGGAAACTGAGCAGCAGAGCCTCACTGTCCTTCCTGCTGTTCTGGGGAGCCAGGGCCTCCAGGGAAGGGTTCAGAGGCCCAGAGCAGGTTTGCTGTGGGTGCTTTTTCTCTGAGCTTGGGGACAGGGGCAGCTAAAGGAAGATGCAAGTGACAAGAAAGGTCGTGGAGAGGACTGAGCATTGTGCCCCAGCTCATGCTGGGCCCGCATAATACAAGGAGCCACCTGAGACAGGAAGAGGGCCCTCCACCAGATGGGTTCATGCCACTCGGGCTCCGCTACTGGGGGTATCCAGTCTGAGCCCAAAGCTCATGCCTTGGACCACTCCAGGCTGCAGTGGACTTAAAAGGACACTCTGGCTGTCCTTCTGGAAGGGGACAGAGTGGGCATGGTGGCAATAATAGAGGCGAGAATGCGGGCAGATGGTGGTGGGGAAGATGAGGCTGGCTTCCTCCGCCCTGTGGCCCTGGGATCCTTACACGTTATTAGGAGGCAAGAGCTAGAGATGCCTATTTTTTCTTTGTAAAATGAGGAGATGGACAAAGCACCTGGCCAGCTTTGATATTTGAAGCCCCTTTGGAAAGGGGCTTTTGGAGCACATCTTTGCCCCTGGTAGGTTTCCTGGTAGAAAAGCAGTGGATTCCACACAGCCTCTGCTTCACCATTCTCAGGGTCATGGCCAAGGTCGTAGAGAAGATCTATTCTTACACACTTGTTTTCCAGATGAGACCTCCTAGGATGCAGGAGTACAGTGATTTGCTCAGAGCTCCTAGCTCATGAGCAGCTTGACCTCTAGTCTCCTGAACAAGCCCTGCGTCCTTGTCCCCTCCCACGCCATCTCCTGTAGACTTGCAGAGAGGATGCCTTTTTTCCTGTCATGGGAAACACATAGACCTAATGTGTATCTGGCTGTGTCTGAGGTCATCAGGAGTAGTAGGGGAGAGGTAGGGGTTCTGAGGATGTGAGTGGGGGGCACCTCACACAGAGCCCCCATCACAGGATAGCTGAGCAGCAGCTCTAACCTGCGTGCTGCTGCCCAGAGCTCGTCCTGTTCCTTGATCACGTGGCCCTCCACAGACCTGTGGGGTGCTGATTACAGCACTAAGCGGGGCCCTTTAACCAACATTAGCCTAATTGCTGAGTGATAGATGGCGCGGCACAAGCATATGGTGAATCATTCCCATGCCTGCTAATCCTGCCTGCGCCCGGGACCCTGCACTGAGCCCGTTTAGCCAAATTCATCTCTTGCAGACATCTGTAACGATGGTGCCTGCTGCTCACTGCCCAGGATGGAGGCTTTAATGATGTTAACAAACTCTGAAACCTCGAGAGCCATAATGAGCCTGGCACTGTTGGAAACCAGGGCTGCATCCAGTGAGGCTCAGGGTGCGTTGCTGTCTCCTGCCTGCAGTGGGCCAGAAGAGGAGATGCTCATGGCTTTCTAGAGTCACCACTGGCCCCAGCAAGGACCTAGGGGGGCTGTTCTCTAGCTCTGTGCATCCTCCCTTCTGGCATTTCTGCACAGTTTCTTCCTGTGGCTCAAGGTGAGGGGAGCACATTTGACTTCATAAACAGAGCTAAAATCCCTTACTTTTGTCTAGCACATTCGGTTGATGGGGGTCGGAGAGGCTGAACAGCTTGCTAAGGTCTCAGAGCTGGCCAGTAGATTAGTCAGGGCTAAAGCACAGCTCAATTCCAAATCTCATGAGACTTAGGTCCAGCTGCCCAGAAATTCACACTTTTCAGCTCAGACTGTGATCCCTCCCACCTCTCAGAACACGTGGGAGAATAGCCTGCATCCAGAGGCCAGCGCAGGTCCTGGAGGCCAGGTTGGACTTGGGGTCAGCCTGGCCCACTGCCTCGTGAGGTCTGGCCTTGCATGGGGCTGGTGCAGTCTGTCCGTCTGGCCATTGCAGGCTGGGCTGCTCTTGCCACAGCAGCTTTCCCTTCAGCTCCTGGCTCTGCACACTTCTTACATCACTTCCCTCCTCTCTCTGGTGTGTTTCCTAAGGGCCCGGCCAGTCTCTCCTCCAGGACTTGCTCCTTGCAGGGGTGAGGGTATTAGTAGGATCAGCACTGGAGGATGGGGAGCATCAGGTCAGCTCTTTTTCCTTCCTGTCTGTAGTCCCAGTTTTTCAAGCTTTGGAACCCAGACCTTCTGCCTCTGACCTTTCTTGGCCACACTTGAATCTTGGCTGGTGAGCCCCAAAGCCACATGAGGATGAGTCACAGAATGTTCAGGTTTCTCCATGCAGGACACTTGCCCCATGGCTTTGTGGGAGGGAAGAGTCCTGGACAAGGGTCAGGAGAGTTGTGACCCAGTTCTGCTTCAGCATGAACCGTGAAAGTCATTTCACCTCCCTGAATCCTTTGCTCTCTCCTGTTTGCAAAAGTGGCAAGAACAATAATTTACCTGTCAGACCACTAACCAATTAAAAATGAGATAGTGGATGAAAAAGTGTTCCTTGATCACGTGGCCCTCCACAGACCTGTGGGGTGCTGATTACAGCACTAAGCGGGGCCCTTTAACCTGTTAACTGAAAAGTGCTGATGACAGATAAGGGGATGTCAATTTCCAGTTGCTGTGGAAGGCTGGCTCTCGGGAGGTGGGGGAAGGGCTGAGGGCACAGGGCAGCAGGGTGCAGGGTGGGAAGTCCCTGCCCCAAAGCCAAACTATTAGTCCTGCTCTTCCTACCATGTGCAGAGTGAGCTGTGTCATCGGGCAGTTGGGGTGGCTTGACCAGACTTCACATGGCCTTGCCTTTGCTTTCCATTAGAAGGAAGCATCCTTCCTTCTACCCTCTTGCCCCAGCTGTGTGCCCACCCCTGCCCACAAACTCACAGTGCTCACTGCTGCCAAATGAGCACCCCAAATTGGAACGTATGTCACTCTCAGAGTCCCGTTTGCCTGTCCACCACTACGTGTCTATTTTCTAATTTCCAGCTGACATTTCCCTTAGTGAAATAAATGAATTTGCTCCTGCGGAGGCCCTGCTTGGATTAAGCTACTGTCAGAACCCCATGCACCAAACAAATTGTTGCCTGCAGCCCACCGTGCAGGCTGCATTCCAATGGGGGCTGGCAGGAGGGGCCTGGATGGTGGGAGAGGAGCCTGTGCTCACTGGGAAACTGGATCAATCACATTGTTGGGCAGAAGGCTGATGGAGGGGCAATGTGGCACCAGGGGCTCTGATGTCAGAGGAAGCAGGAAGCAGAGAACCAAATAGAACAGGATCAGCTGAGGTAGAGGTAGGCTGAGAGAGCACTTGGGAGGCTCCTGGGGCAGGTTCCAATGGGGAGCAGGTGATGGGAGGTGAATCCTCGATATATCGCAGAGAGGAACAGGGGAGGGTCTTCCCTCTGTATCCTTCTGCTCCCATGGGACCAGGACTGGCCAGGGGACTCACTGCTCAGCGATGATGTACTCCCCTGCGAGGGGCGCGCAGGGCACCCCAGCCACCTGCACATGGTGTGCGATCTCAGAGAAGTCCAGGCCCAGGTTCACGCCATGGATAGTCACTCGAGTCCCTCCTTCAGGTGGTCCAGACACTGTCAGAATCTGCAGGAGGGAAGTGGAATTAGCTAATCTAGTCAAGCCAGGCATGGAGCAGGAGGTAGGTCCGAGTTTAAGGATCTTAACAGATACTGGGCACCCCGGGTGACATATGTATGATTAACTTATCTAGGATCCTAAGGTCATCTTCTATTTTAACATGACTAACTTGGTTAAGTCATTCATTCATCATTCATAAATATTTAGAAAAACTTATCAGAAATAATCCTGGACCTCATGCAGAAAGCCATTGCTTAAGACCCCTCCAGTCATTAGTTGTCCGATCACAATCAAGTCACATAATCTCTCCACACTTCAGTTCTTAGTGGTGAAGAGACTATTAAGTCTACAAGCTGGCAGGGGGCTTGGGAGCCCCAAAGAGAAGGTGTGCTCGGGGCATTCTGCAAGCCAGAAGGGCTTTATAGTGGTGCCAGCGTTATTACTGCCGCTCCAGGGCGCTGGACCCTGTGGTGGGGTACAATGCTGAATGCACAGCAGGCTTGCCCTCAAGGAACTTGGAGTCAGGGCAGCTGAAATAACAAAGGCTCATAAGTAATGAGGATCCAAGGTCTAGGGCGATAAGACAGATAGAGAGGAAAACCCTGCGAGCTTGGAGTGGGATAGGATTAGGTGTAGCTGCAGGGTGATGATGTGTTTGCCTTTGTTTTGAAAGAAAAATGCTGTGACACATGCTAAGGCCAGGAAGAAATGACTAGAATTTACCAAATCTTTTCTGACTTCCCACGTTAGCAAGAATCATTTATTTATTCATTTTTAAGATCAGCCACCAAATGCTGGCTGCTTCATTTAGCTCTGACCCCACAGGAAGCAGGATGGAAGAATGGGGTTCTCCCAAGGTGTAAACTTTCATCTGGGAATGTATTAGGTTCTTGGAAAAATGCATTTCTTTGGGATTCAACAAATCTCAGTGAATTAATCCATACTTTGTGGCCTATGGTTACCCAAAGCAACAAAAACCCAGAGGTGGATTCCATCTTAGGCAAGAGAAGAACATCAACTTTCAGAAGGGGTGTCTTATGTATGCTAAGACCCTCAGTTTACAAGGCAAAGAATAAGAGCTACAGAAGGGAGGGATGGATCCATGGCTTCAAGAAATTACTAGAAAAATGCCCAGCATACTTCTCAGTGCAGCACAGTAAAGGCTGATGCAAGAGGGATGGACAGAGGAAAGGGGACCTGATGGAGACCAACCGCCCTTAGGGTCCCTAGATGGTGCCCCTGCAGCCCTGCCTCCTTGGCCGTCTCTCCCACTCAACCTTGTCCATGCTGGCTTAGGATGGGGAGGAAAGGTCAGTCCAGGTGGAAATTCTTCTCCTGCCTCCCAGAGGGCAGTGCTCTTTCCTCCCTGTGATGTGCATGTCCAGTTCTGCCACCATTCGAGCCACCGTTCTTTTCAGGGGGCCTTGGACAATGTTCCTGCCTCCCTGTTTGCCAGTAGAGCCCTCACTGGGGGCTCATTCACTCAGGCTATGGTTCTGATTTCCTTTCCTGGGAAGAAAATATCCCGCCTTATGAATAAAACTAAACAAGACGCGTGGAGTGAATCAAGGAGGCACAGGTAGGGAACTCAGATCCCTCTCTGTGGAGGCAGGAGATGGACAGTGTAGAGAGGAAAGAGCTGGCCTGAGGGACTGGAAGATCCAAGACTAAAAATACCCAACAATAGCACATCCTGGCCATTCTGCTCTCCCCTGGCACAGTTCCCGCCAGCCTTGGGCTCCTGGGCCTGGGAGGTGGACACCTGTCTGTAAGACACAGCAAAAGGCTCTCACCCAGCCATCCAGCAGGGCAGCAGCAGAGCTTTTGGGGCCAGCTTTCTTCAGCCAACCCGACTGAGCCCCTGGGGCTCCACATCCCCTCTTTCAGCCACCTGGATGCCCTGAACTCATCTACCCAAAGGAGCTGACGAAACTGTGGTGATTGGTTCCCTGGGCCTTCCCCCCACTTTTATTTTTAAAAATACATTCTTTTGCTCACTGCAGTTAATTACAGCCTTTCAGAAAAACTGAAATGAAATCTTTATGGGAAGCCTAAAAATATTTCCACCTTGCAGGTAGCATGTGGGGGACACAGTGCAGAGACACTGTGGTGCAGGCAGGGCCCACAGTCTTGCTCCTGACTGCTGCAATGTTGCTGCAAGTACTTACTCCCTCCCACCTGCACGCAGTGGGGGTGGGGCATCCAGGGCTGGGGTCAGGTTGCCAACATAGTCTGCCAGGAGCCCAGGTTGGCTGACTCTGTCTAGAGAAAGAACACCCTTTCCTCCCCCTTAAATTATGTGTGAGTGTGGCAACCTTGACACCAAGGCACGTGTCACAGAGATAGGTAGGTCTAGCAGGCAGCTGGGTCCTCTGGGGGCTTTCAACCAGATGAGGTGCTTGAGGGCGGTTGGTTTTCAGGAGAGGCTTCTTTCCTATGCTGTCGCCACCTTGTATAGGTAGCAAGAGAGTTTAGGGTGGGGGACAACGGAGCCACTGTCCTGCTTGTAGCGTACAAGGGGTTTGCGGTGCATAGGACTTTGCTTAGAGCAAAGCTGATGGGTGAAAGTCTGGCTTTCCAAATCATAGATGAGGTGCTGATTATTTGATTTGCAGGAGGAGGGCCTCCATTGCCGATGACTTCCAGGTCTGTACTGCTGGCTCGGACCCCTCTCCTGAGTTTGGATCATATATCCAATTGGTGCCGGACATCTCCACTTCCCCACTCGTGTCCCTCAGGTACCTCGAATTTTCCAGTGGCTAAAAAGTGAACTTGGGATTTTTCTTCCTCCCCCGCTCCAGCGGGGATTCTCTTTCCAGGTTAATGGACTCACAGATACTCTGCCCGGAGTCATGTATGCATTGTCAACTGCTTCTTTTCCTTGCCTACCATGTATCATTAATAAGGTCACCAGGCCCCACCGGTTCTTACTCTTGTGTGCCTGGAGTCTGTGTGTTCCAGAGCAGGGGTTCAGCCAAGCTCCATCTTCTCCTTCTGTCTGCCAGAGTCTCTATGTTTCTCCATGTAAATCTGACTTCTGCCCAGTTACCAGGGGAAGCCCATACTTGACCAAGTTACTAAGCATTTGTTCTGATGGCTGTGACTATTACCAAGGCAAAGTCCCTAATTCCTGGCCAGGCTTTTGTGGTCCTTAAGGTGCCTTCACTTCCTCAGCCACACCTTTCATTCTACAATCTGCCCTCTAGGTCCTCCCAGAGACAAGTGGTTCCTGTATATAAGATGCATGATAAAAATCACTGGACCGACTCTGCAGTGCCTCCCCCACCCCGCCCGCCAAGTAGGATTTTCTGCCGAGT